AATATAACATTTTAAATACTAGAAAAATAATTTAAACACGTATCAAAAATTACGGTTGTTACATCCTACCCCCCTTAAAACAAATTCCGCCCTCAGAATTAAAAGAACACAAGAACAAAGATATGGAACGAGAGTGGATACTCGCAAATCGACGAGAAAAGAAACAATGAAACAAGAATCAGGTGGAGGTTACGAGACAAGAAACAGTGGGAAGATCCGGAGTCAAAAAATGATAAGATAGGGACGAAAGGAAATCTATCAAGAAAATAGGAGAAGGTTCAAGAATAGTCTTATGGATGAAATATGATATGTATCTAAATTGCCTACCATATTCTTACTAGTGATGACTCGGGACCGTGACCTGCATGGGCCACCACTAAAACCTGTCACGCCCCGCTTCCCAAAATACACGGGAACCGGGATGTGAACAAGCCCGCGACGTATTAGATTGAGAAGAAATATATTCTTACCATTTTTTTCTTTTCTTTTCTTCTCAATCCAATACGCTAAACGTCTGGAAATAAAAACAATGCGAAGTCACAGGTCCCCGATCACACATAGCAAGAATATAAAGACAACCCAGAATAAAAATAGACATATCATCAATGGTAAATCATCCCAGACATAAAAATATGGGTCAAACATGCCCTTATTCAAATATAAACAAATGAATACTGGAGAGATACAAAATACATCGTTCAGGCGAAAATAGAAAAAGAAAGAACTATAAAGGTAAACTAGAACCATCAAAGAATAGGCTTCGACTCCTTCTTCTGCTCCATCTACAAGGCACTCCCTGCTGAGAATCCTCTAGCTCCTGTTGAACCTGTTCTTCTCCTAAGTCTGACGTACACCAGAGAAAACAGGTGTACGTCAGGTGCATGGCGCACGGCAAGATCCCACTCGGGAAAATAATAATACAGTTGAATGACCAATGCAAGGACTCTATATCTCACAAGAATCATACTTAGCCAAGAATCGAGGTCATGTAACTAACTATCTCATCACTCATCTCAATAATCAACAACAATCAATATCCCTGCTCCTCAGACCCACCCCAGGCCGAAACAAGACGCTGGCGCGAGCCTGGAAAACAAATAATAATCTCGATATCACCTCACCTCAGACCCACCCCAGGCCGAAACAAGACACTGGCACGAGCCTGGAAAACAAATAATAATCTCGATATCACCTCACCTCAGACCTACCCCAGGCCGAAACAAGACGCTGGTGCGAGCCTAGAAAATATATCAATAATCACATATCACGATACCTCAGACCCACCCCAGGCCGAAACAAGACACTGGCGCGAGCCTGGAAAACAATCAATAATCTCGATAACACCGCACACCTCAGACCCACCCCAGGCCGACACAAGGCGCTGGCGCGAGCCTGGAAAATAACTGCAATCACAATATCACAACTCCTCGGACCCACTCCGGTGACTACACAAACTTCACCAGCGCGAGCCCGGAATATACATCAACAATCCCAACCACTCACATGGACCAAGACTTCTCATCCCAATTCTCGTAATTCCAGGTCAACTACACACGGGATTCTAGATCCTAACTGTGTCATATAGGTCACTATAATCATAAACTCCTAATGATTCTCAATCACAACATGAAACAATCAATCAACCAATCATGTGTAATAATTTCATAGCATATTAAATAATCAAAATAAGAATTATAAATCATAAACAACGGCTACATAATCAGAAAATAATCTTTTTCTAAATTAATTCGTTTTAAATTATTTTGCTTAACAATTAATCTAAACTAATTCATTTTCCAAAATAAATTCTTTTAAATTATTATAATTATCTAAAAATAATTCTTTTGCCAAATTAAATTCTTTTAATTCCTTATAATTATTTTGAAAATGTCATTTATCACATATCCATTATGTAAATCAATATTGTTCCCCAAACAACCCACGCAGATAAATACGACACAATTAAACTATGCAAATAATTCATAAAAAATGTAAATAATCAAACTACGAAACAGGAGAGCGGGATCTTGCCTACGAAGACCAGGGCGGTCCTGTGCACGAGCGGCGGCTGCGAGGTGTGGCTACGGGACTTGCCGTTCAGTGAAGATGTCGTCCACGACGTCAACGGCGAGGGCAAGAAGAGAGGAGCGAGGGCGGGGTGCGAAGGAGTTCGCTGCAGATCTAGGATCTGGTCGGTCGACACACAGGGTGACGAGCGGTCGACCGGCGCGGAACTCGAGCTGGGCAGCTGCGGAGGCGGCTCAAGCCCGAGCGTGGGGTGGTTGCGGTTGGGTGGGTCGTTCGCCAGCAAAACTTGGGCGTCGGGGCTCGGCGTGAACGACGAGGGAGGAAGACTCCAGAGGGCAGCGCGCGTGGGCCGTTTGAAGCGGTGGTCTGAAGTCGTAGCGGCAAGAGGGTTAGGTCGGCGCTGGATTGAAGCGGAGTGATGGGGGAGATGAGGCGTCGCTGGCGGGGTTGCAGGCGACGTGGGTTCAGGGGCTCGACAGAGCAGAGCGGCGGACGGGGTGCCGAGGCGGGAGAGGCGTGAACGGCGGCAAGCACGCGATGGTCGAGCTCGGGTGGCAGGCCGTGGTCGGGTTTGGTGTTGAGGAAGAAGAACAGAAGGAGAGGCGGTGGGTTTTCTTTGGGTGAAATATGGAGGAGATGAGAGGGGTACGTGATGAGAGAGAGAATGGCTGATGGAAATAAGAGGAGAAGAGAAGGATTTCGATAGGTACTTTTTTAAATTTTGAAATGAGAGAAAAATAAAATGGAAGGAGTTAATTTGGTGGCAGAAAATCATGGGGAGTGATTTGGGGTTGATTGGAAATTGATTAGGGAGATTATGGTAGGAATTCAAATGAGAAAAAATTAAGGGGAAAAAGATTATGGAAAATATTTATTTATTTACTTATTCATAATATTTAATAATTAACCTTATAATAATAATTAACCTTATAATAATAATTAACCATATAATAATATTAATAAATAATTAACAGCCAATATTTATATATTTACATATGTATTAATATACTAAGCTCAAATTTACATAAAATTATTATTAATAGTATCAATAGTTAAAATAATTATTTAAAATATTCATTGTAACTGTAAATTAATATTTCACAGAATTAATAATTTCAGGGCTATATATTTTATTTATTTATTTATTTATTTTTAAAACTCATAACATTCTAGAAATTAGGAAAAATATTAATAAAATATAATATAACATTTTAAATACTAGAAAAATAATTTAAACACGTATCAAAAATTGGCGGGATTGAGCGATCACATCCGTCCGAAAGGAGATGAAGTCACGGTGGAATCAATTGCAGAGGCGAGCGTGAAGGCTATTACCCTCGAGGGCAAGCAAAAGAAGGGCAACGAGGCTAAGGGAGACTTCAAACAGACGGGAGGCGAGTCTAGTGGTTCTCAATCTAAGAAGGAGGAGAAGAAGGGTGATCCAGGGAAGACAGGGCTGATTTATAGTCACTGTGAGAAGACATGGCACACAACTGATCGGTGCTGGGAGAAGTATCCTCATCTCAAGCTAAGAGAGTTGAAGAAGAAGGAGGAGAAAAAAGGCATACATGATAGCTCAAGGTCCGAAAGAAGTCCCGGGGATGATAGAGCCCAACAGCAGTCTCAACCTTATGGCAGGGAAGCAGACCACGAAAGAGGACGACGAACCGAGAGAGCAACTCTTTGTTCTTAAGTTGCAAGTGAAGACCAGTTTGGTTGATGCCATTGTTAATTCGGGCAGCGAGAAGAATTTGATATCCGAGGCATTGGTTCAGAAGCTGGGTCTGAAGACGGTCAAGCATCCGAAGCCCTATCTATTAGGGTGGATTCAGAAGGATGAGAAACTGAGTGTAGTTAATCAATGCACTGTCAGATTTATGCTCCACGAGTCGTATATTGACGAGGTCATGTGCGACGTCCTCCATTGGATGTTTGTCAGATTATAATGGGGAATCCATACTTATGGGATAAATATGCGATCTACGAGAGGCGGGCTCAGAAGTACACCTTCACTAAGGATGGTGAAAGGTTTATATTTCGTTCGACATCTCTTCCGAGGGAGACAAGCTTGGAAACGGTGACGCGAGCGAAGAGACTAGTGAATGCAAGCAAGAAGTTTGTCTCGCTGTGCATTAGACTTCCAGAAAAGCCATCGATAAAGGATTACAACTTGGGGAAAAAGGTCATTACGACGAGACGTGGGATGGATGTGATGTTTCTGATCGGACGTCGAGACCAGGTTCCTAGTAGGGCCAGATGGTGCAGAAAAGATGGAGGAGCTCGAGAGTTTCCTCAGCAAAAGTTCTAACTTAAATGGGACTTCAAGTTCCTAAAGATGGGACACATGATATGGGTGTATCTTCTCTTCGGAACTTAGCGATCCTCATGGGAGCTTGAGGATAGATGATTCTCATAATAGCATGAGAATAGGGGTGTAAAACAGTACAGTAGAACACAGGTAGAAGCGTGAAACGAGACGATGAACAGCAGATTCGAAGAATCCAGATTTTAGCTCGTGAGTCGACTCATACATGTACATGAGTCGACTCATCAGGTTGAGTCGACTCATGACTGTCATGAGTCGACTCACGAAACCCAGTCCTGTTAGCAAAAGTTTCTGACCAGTCGACTCATTAGTTATGAGTCGACTCATACATGTACAACCGTTACTATTAGATTTTTTTTAATAAAAAATAAAAAATCCACGTCAGCAAATCTCAACCATTGCTATAATGTATTAACAACGGGAGACAACCATTGCTATAAGGATTAACTTTTAATTCTATAAAACAATAAAATATTCACGTCAAAAATCCTAACCTTTTGCTCAAGCATATTAACAACTAAAATAACCAAGTAAATATCACTGCTTATTTTCACGATCATTAAAATGAAATAAATAATAACATTTGTAAATAAATTTAAAAGCAATTCTATTAAACAAATAACAAGAGTTTGACACATGTTTTATGAACAAATCCAACAATATGCTAATTACAAAGCATGTACTTCTTTAGACCATAGGTTTACATGGTTCCTCGCTCCTTCACTCTCAAACTCTAAATTTGAAATGCAAATCTAATAAATCAAAACCTACCCAAAAGACCTACAACAGAAAAGAAATAAACCATGATTAGTAGACTTGAACAATAAAGACTACAGTGAGCCCATGTCTTATCAACGCTGCAAGCCTTTCCTTCGTCATGTCTCTAGCTTCTTCCCACTGCAACACACCAAACTAATCTCTCATTCACCATCTATCACCTTGCAACCTCCATCTATATCATGCCATGCCTGCCAAAAGTAATAGAAATTTAGAAATAGAAAAAAGAAAATTCAAGCCTCTACAGATTTTAATAGTTATTGACGTTATATTCACAAATAGTTATAGTTTTAAACATATTCATGTATATCATCGAAAATATTATACAAAAGGATAACACAACTTCAAAGACATGAATACCATTACATACGAAAAAACAATATAAATAATGTCAAGTGGAGTGAAACTTTAGATTGATCTAGGCTACACATATTTGTACACTTACTTTCCGAAAGGACGTGCCAGGGCATTGTCACTAACATTCTCTTAAGGGTCACAATGAAAATTTTTAGATTAGGCAATCTTAAGAGGCATGAGCACCAACGCATTTGGAGTAGATGGAGCTCATATCCATTTCTGCAGGTTAATATTATATTAAAAGATATAATCATATAATCATGAACCACTCATGACATACATATTAATTAGATGTTTTCATATCCTTATATTTAAAAAATTGCAAGTAAATATCATCAGATCGTATTAATGTAAGAAACTTTGGACAAAATTGAAGGACATTACCTTCATGATCATCTCACAAACATCATCAGCAATCAGGGGGCTTCCAGTCCTGAACTCTCACTATAATGATGATACATCACCTTAATCCCTGAAATCAAATTCAAAAACCACAGTTTTAAGATATTTCCCAGATCAAACTCGAATAAAAAAAAAGAATCTCCATTACGTCTCCGAGAACGATTTCTGCGTGTTCTTGAGAAGATTCGAGACCGCAATCCTCGCCGCAAGCTGTCAAGATCCAAACTGACCCAAGACGGCTACCGACAGCGCCTCCTCCCCAAAACCTAGAAGTAACCAAATTGACCCACGTCGATCACATGCGCCTTCCCTGCCCTGACCTGCTCCTTGACGTCCTCAGGGACCAAAGACCAGAGCTTTTCGACGTTGACGGCGGGGCAGTAGAATTTGTTGCGGAGCCTGTGGAAGTAGCGCATGCTGACCTTGCCGAAGTAGCCGAGGTGGTACTTGTCGAAGAGGATCCGGTGGTTGAACATGTCCTTTATTAAATTGATCGAATGATTGCAAATTTCTACTCTAGATGATCATTTAAGATTAATAACATTGGAAAAAGAGATGTCTCTACTTCTGCGGTGCATCAAAAGAAATTAGGACGAGATCCAATTTGATAAGAGTTGAAGATATATCTAGCAACATACCTCAAATCAAGACGTAAGGACAAATTTTCAAAACCAACCCTTTTACACATTTAATTGCAAAAACCGACTCCTTTTCATAATAATTGCAAAAACCGACCTGTTTTCAGCCCAGCGCTGAAAACAGGTCGGTTTTTGTAAAAAAATCTCCGAAACATCACGGGAGTTCAACTCCAGTGAAGTTTATGGAGAAATTAAACTTCACGGGAGTTCAACTCCCGTGAAGCGTAATTTCTGCTTAAAACTCCACGGGAGTTGAACTCCCGTGGAGTTACAGTCAGCAATTCCAGAGAATCGAGTCTCTGGCAAATTGTGACTGCAACTTCACGGGATTTCAACTCCCGTGAAGTTGCAGTCCACAAATTGCCAGAGATCGAGTCTCTGGAAAATTTGCACTGCAACTTCACGGGACTTGAAATCCCGTGAAGTTGCAGGCTGCAACTTCACGGGATTTCAACTCCCGTGAAGTTGCAGGTCACCCAGCATGCACAGCTTCTGTGCAGGTTTTGTATATTTACCTGTAAATCATATATATGCCAATTTATTTGCAAACAACAATATATACATGATTCAACCATGAATTAAACACACACGAATATGTATATGAACAACAATTTATCTTCAAAAGTTTAGTATTTGAAAATTCAGGAAAGTTACAAAATTTATCAAAATAAGTTCATATACAACGGCATTTGGGCCCTGTATTGAGGGGTTTCGATATTGCCGTCCTCTTCTTAGCATTGATGGAACTCACTTATATGGTAAATACAAAGGCGTTTTGCTTGTTGCAACCGGAGTTGACGCGGATGGCGGGTTGTTTCCTTTAGCATTCGCAGTGGTTGATGTTGAAAATACAGAGAATTGGGCTTGGTTTTTTGCATGCATTAGATATCATATCCCTAGTGTGGGAACGCGGCAGATTACATTCATATCCGATAGGATGAAAGGAATTCCAAGAGCACTCCAACGACATTTCCCGCCACCACATGCACATCGCTATTGCTTGCGACATATTAGAGACAACTTCAAGAAGAAGTATGGAAACGCTCAGGTTCAAGACTTACTTTGGCAAGCCGGTTGTGCAACAGAAAAATATGTTTATGAACAAATACGAGAGAGGATCAAGTTCACTTCACGAGCCGCACATGATTGGATCGAAACTAGTTTGGGTCCAAACAATGTTGATAAGTGGGCTTTATGTGAGGATGGCGGTCGACGGTTCTGTATGATGACTACGAACGCGTCTGAGAGCTTCAATGGCGTGCTCAAGGGAGCACGCGGCATGCCAATACAGGCACAGAAAACAGGTAAATTATTTCAAAAAAAAGCTATACTCTCTAATTGTTGTATACTCCCACTATTTGATTGTGATTACATGTAAGAATCTAGATTTTAAAATTTAATTATGAATTGTTTATGAATTTTATGAAGAAATGTGAAAAGTAGATGGGAAATTATCAATAAATGTGAAAATTAGAGGGAAAATTATCAATAAATGTGAAAAATAGAGGGAAAATTATCAATGGGGAAATTATCAATAATTTTTGTGAAATTTGTGAAGAATTAGTGTGTAATTTATCAATAATTTTGTGAAATTAGAGGGGAAATTATCAATAATTTCGAAAATTATTGTATTTAGAGTTTAGAATTTAATTGTGAATTATTTAGATTTTGTGAAGAAAAATTAGATTTTAGATTTTTGCATATGTATGATATAAATTAGATTTTAGAATTTAATTGTGAATTATTTACGAATTTTGTGAAGACGTATTAAATAATTTTGCGTATTTAGAGGTGAAATTATCAATTAATGTGGAAATTAGAGTTACTACCTAAATGTAAAAATTAGTAACAATCAATATTTATTTGGCTTTTCGTGTAATATTGATATTGAATTTTTCACTCTTCAGAGGTAACGATGAATGATCGAATTGTAATTCTCTGTTCTTATGATGGGAAGATTAATTACCTCGAGAATAATATGCCCGTTTATGAAGGAGGCACGACGAGACCGTTGTTCATAACAAAATCGTGTACTTTCGATGAGTTGGTTAATGAATTACACAAACTTACATTAACTAACTCACGTGAGTATCACCTCAGTGTGGTTTGCAATTATCCTGTTGTGGAGAACAGAACAAGTGGCATTCAAATATCAAGTGACTACGATATGGGTCTCATTCATGTCTTACACGACGAGAAGCGTTCGGTCGAATTGTTCATTGAAAAACATCAGAGAGATTTGGGCAAATCGTTGAACTACGAAGGAATGTATTCCCGCATGTTGGAGGATCCTGAAGTTGATTCTGTAGGCTTTTTATCTCCTCAACAAGATGAATGTTGGACACAATCACAATACATGAGCGGTCCTTCGTTCGTGGGCACTTCGAATGCTTTCGATACTAACACGGGAATTCAAGAAGATAATGCAAGTGTTGAATCCGAGAATGATGATGAAGAGGAGGGATTACAAATTAATAGCATGACCGTGATAGATCGTGATGACGGGGAAATCCAACACATCGACGGGGCTTATGTTAATAATGAGTATGTCGGCTTAGAGGATCCGCCGCCCGATGAACTTCAAGGAGATGAATGGATTGATAACTCCGCGATGGAAAGTGTTCCTATTGGCACTAATAGCGGTGTTGATACACAGGCCGAGGACTTCTCATTCATCAAGGGAGATCTTTACGAGAGTAAGGAGAAATTGATCCATGCTATTCGCACGTATTCCATTGCAAAAAATGTGAAGTTCAGGCCAACCAAAAATAATACTACAAGCTATAATGTGGTTTGTTTCTATCGCAAAGATGACGATGTCGAAGATAATAGTGGACACCACGACGGCAATGCGAGGTGTCCGTGGAAGCTTAATTCACGCTCGGGTTCAAGAGTAGGTGGGCAATTCAAAATCACGGCATACAATGGACTCCACACTTGTAGCAATCCTCGATTAGAGATGAATAACAAGAATGCGTCCTCTTCTTTTATATATCGATTGATTTTACCGCATCTGAGGGAGGATCTTGATCTAAGGCCGAAAGATATCCGTCTTTTAGTGCATAAAGCCACCAACTTGGATGTATCATATCACAAGTGTTGGAATGCTAGGAGGAAGGCGATGATAAAAATATTCGGGGATTGGGATAAATCGTATGAGATCTTACCTCATTATCTTGAAGCACTCAAAAGAGAAAATCCGGGGACTGTCTACGAAGTATCTTCGGACCCCGTTGATGGCGGAGAACGGCGGTTCACCGGTGTATTTTGGGCATTTGGGCCCTGTATTGAGGGGTTTCGTCATTGCCGTCCTCTTCTTAGCATTGATGGAACTCACTTATATGGTAAATACAAAGGCGTTTTGCTTGTTGCAACCGGAGTTGACGCGGATGGCGGGTTGTTTCCTTTAGCATTCGCAGTGGTTGATGTTGAAAATACAGAGAATTGGGCTTGGTTTTTTGCATGCATTAGATATCATATCCCTAGTGTGGGGACGCGGCATATTACATTCATATCCGATAGGATGAAAGGAATTCCAAGAGCACTCCAACGACATTTCCCGCCACCCATGCACTCTGTATATATGCTCATATTTTAATCACAGGTCTATTCATTATGGATCCGGGACCGGAGAATCCCGACGTTTTGTACCTTCAGGCGAGTCATTGTTCAGACCATATTGGTTCGGGAGAGGTAATACGAATAAATTAGATATATATTTCTTCGATTAATGTAATTTTTTAATGAATATACTTAAAACTGATTCTCGTTTTATGTGCAGCCCGTACCAGAGTACACGATGATCGAGCATTCCCATAGTCATTCGGCATGGGTCATAGAGGATGAGAGGGTACTAGCTTTGATCGCTCAGGCCGGTTTTCGACCGTGTTCGACGATTCGTTATATCAGGCTTGATTGGCCGCTTATCACTGCTTTGATTGAGAGGTGGAGGCCAGAGACCAACACCTTTCACATGCATATAGGGGAGTGCACGATCACTTTACAGGACGTGGCCGTCATACTTGGGCTCCGGATTGATGGACCGGTAGTTACGGGCACCGACGATCATAGTTGGCCGGAGGTATGTGGCCGGCTACTTGGACAGGTTCCCGACTTGAGGAGTGGTGCGATGAAGCTATCGTGGCTTCGTCAGACATTTCAGGGCGACATACCAGAGGATGCCTCTGATGAGACGCTCCAGTTTCATGCTCGTGCATACATATTGCACATGATAGGGTGCGTACTATTTCCTGATGCGAGCAAGACTCTCGTACATGCACGATGGCTGCCACTGCTGGAGGATTTTGGTGTATGCGGCGCACTATCGTGGGGCAGTGCGGTGTTGGCATATTTGTATCGAGAATTGAGTAGAGTATCTCTGATGCAGAATAAAGAATTCAAGGGATGCTGTACGTTGATACAGATTTGGTCATGGGAGCGCATTCATATTGGACGACCCACTTTACTTATGCACCGTGACTTAGAGGGGCAGTATCCGTTGGCATACAGGTATAATTGTACACACACATATTTCATTCGTAACCTGAATATTTTTACTTATATATTCGCTATTCTGCATATAGGTATAACGTGCGATACGCTCAGTACAAATCAGCGACGCGTCAC